ATAATAATTTTACATTATTATAATTCAATCTTCATACAAATATAAGTAAAATAATTAGTTATTTTAATTAGTTTAAACCAACTACAAATAAAGTTATCGTCAGAAAATAAAGTTAGCATAATAAAGGAACGAAAAACTCGTAGAAGACCGTGATGTCCTGTTTTAGAAGACTCGTAGAAGACCGTGATGTCATTGAATTACATTTTACAGGGACAACGTTCTTCAAGTTTTGTTCATCACAAAGTTCATTATCTGTACACGAAAATTAATAAATTAACCTAAAGTATTAAAAAAAGTTGATCTCCTACTGGACAAAACAAGTGCAACTCCACAAAATGTTGACCAAGCTGTATTTTGCTATAAATATTTCGTGGCGAATCCATTGTTATCGATCACAGCCTTGCATCTTCGTGGCATAGATTTGATCAGGCGATCAATGAAACTTTGTAGAATCGCTGCCTAGGCCTTTTGGATTTGTTCAAACAATTGATCCTTATTACGAACACCTTTACAATTAATGCTGCGGTTGACGATCTCCCACAGGTTCTCAATAGGGTTGAGATCCTTAGAGTGAGGTGGCCGATCCATCACTGATAGGTGGTTGTCTTAAAACCATTGCTTGACTACTTTTGCAGTGTTTCGGATCGTTGTGTTACTGAAAAATCCATTTTATTGGCATATTCCATTCAGCATGAGGTGACATAACATCTTTCAAGATGTTTTTATACATGAAACGGTCCATTAATCTAACGATTTGATGATTTGGACTTTGACGTCAGCAGAAAAACACCCACAGACCATTACATTGCCTCTACCATGACTCACGGTCTTATGGCAGTAACGTAAATCGATGCGTTTTCCGGCCGGTCGACGTACCCGGCAAATGCCATCGCTCCCAATGATGTTGAACTTCGATTCATCACTGAACAGGACAGTTCGCCGTTCGCAAATTCCAGTCAATATGAGATGTAGCAGACAAGAGTCTTTTCTTCTGGTTCTTTAGTGAAATCAGCGATTTCTTTTTAGGGCGTCGAGAAAACAATCTGGCTTCAACAGCACGTCGTCTGATTGTTCGGTCCGATACAGGCAGCTCTATTTGCTTTTGTATCTCGACTGATGATATTTAGGGATCCTTCTTGACAGATCTGACGATCATAGAATTCTCTCTAGAAGTGGCGGAACGCGGTCTTCCACCTTTGTTATCTGGTGCCAACTTCCCCGTGGAACGATATTTTAAACATAGTCTTGATACGGTCCATTTTTTCACGCGATATTTATCAGATATACTTTTTTGTGACGTTCCACTTACGTAATCGCCATTAATTTTCTTTCTTAGTTCCAATCCAAGACTATTGGGAGCCATTTTTGCACTTGAATTCATAAAAATAATAAAGATAGATGATAATTACGCTTCTCAAGGCTAACCTTGTTACATTTACCTTGCGATGATACAGTAATGCTCTGTGGAACACAACGTCTTGGTTGGATGTGGACTGTATTGATGTAATGAAACACTTGTTGTATTTCACGTCTTGTATTGATGTTCTTCGATAAAACAATTTGATAAACTCACTTCGATAAACTATCTTGACAATACTGACTGATTGACTTCCATATACTGACTGAATTACATGTCGATTTACATGTCTCTTATTTAGTAAAATGAACCTGTGTGAACCTGCTTTGGAAGATTCTAGATGCTTCTTTTCGATGCTTCTGGAAGCTTCTGGATGTTTTTGGATACTTCTGGATGCTTCTGGATGCTTCTTCTGGAAACTTCTAGAAACCTCTGGAAACTTTTTGATATTTCCTTTAATTATTAAAAAACTTCCGTGACGTTGACACGGACCAGACTTAAGAAAATGAAACAAACCAAAAAGTTGCACTTGTTTTGTCCGCTGAAAAATGGCACTTGTCAACGAAATTCTGCCTGTGTGCGGTCACCTGTCAGCTAATTGCTCATGTCATGGCATGTTATGACTCCAGACTTCTAAATTGTTTGCTATAGTAGTATAGTTCGTTTTGTTTTTAAGACATGTAAAATTAGTAACATTTTTTAGCATTGTTCGATGTGGTCGGAATATTTTTTCAATACTGTACATATATAGATACGCAACACATATACATGCATATACACATGCATATCCATGCACATATGTATTCACATACTTTATACTTTTTTTTTTCACATACTAATTTTTTTTATTTTTTTATTTTTACAAAGCCGTGTTAAAAAACCGTAAAAAAATTTTTTTTTTTTTTTTTAAATACTAAATAAAAAATAAAATAAACCTGAAAAATTTATACATACTAGCGATAAAAAATATAAAGCAATTTACAATACGAACTCAAATAATGAATATTTATACATCTATTTATAACTTTCAGTTTCAGTACAATCTTAATGCAACTAAATACTTAGGTAAACTCAGTTTGAAGACAAACCCAAAACACTCTTAGTAATATAGAAAAACGTTCTTCGTGGAAAGAATTAGATTTTTAAGCTTAGTTTTAAAAACAGAAAACGAGGAAGGTAGATCAAAATTTTGCAAAACAACTTTATTCCAAAGATTAAGTGCACGATAATCAATACAAAGCTGATTAAACTTGTTTCGACATAAAATTTGATTTAGTAAATTATTATTTTTCAGTGCATACTTATTTTGCAGCTTCAAAGTAAAAATATTTTTAAAAACGTCAGGAGATAAGTCATTTTTCCACATATATGCAAAACATAGAGTATTATATAAATTTACTTCATAAATAATAAATATTCTCATTTTGTTAAATAAAAGTTTTGAATGAGTAAAACGTTTGGAAAAATTAATAATACGAATTGCGTGTTTCTGACGTGCTTCAACTTTTTCTTTCCAGCACTTACCAAGCAATATTTGCATAATTTATATAATTATGAATAAACGAACGATAGAGTTGGGTCAAGCTCTTTTTATTTAAATTATATCTAGATTTATATAAAATTCCAATATTTTTAGAAATCTTGGTACACGCGTGATCAATATACTGTTTCCATGTAGTGTGCTCATCAAGGTAGACTCTTAAAAACTTTATGACAGAGTCCCTCTTCATCTCAATTTGGTTAACAAATATTTAAGACAGATTTATGGGTAGTTAACATTTATTTGAAGCTGGTGGAAAATGTGTAAAAGTTAATTTGTTACACTTGAACAAGCTAGATATTTTTTTTAAGTTCGTCATTCGTATGTCATAACAGTTTGCAGATGTCAGTATTAGAAAAGAATAGGTTAGTCATCAGCGAACATAATGCTAAGTAGGTTTGAAGCTTTATTTAAGTCATTAATGTAAATCAAGAATAAGAGGGGTCCCAATATAGAGCCTTGAGGAACACCGAAAGATATAACTAATACATTTTTTTGATAATCATCCTTACAAAAAACAAATTGTTTACGGTTTGATAGGTAGCTTTCAAACCACTTTAAAGTTTTTTTGTTTATACTATAATATTTAAGCTTATGCAATAAGATAGTGTGATCTACTGCATCAAAAGAATCGGATAGGTCAATAAAGATACCTAGTAAGTAGTGGGAATTTTCAAAGTATTTTGAAATTTCGCGTACGTATTGAATGACTGCATGTTCCGAGGAGTTGTGTTTTTTAAAGCCAAATAGGTTTTTATATAGTAGGTTATAGCATTAAAAATAATCATACACAAAATTAAAACATATTTCTTTTTAATATTTTTGAAAATATAGGTAAAATAGAAATAGGTCGGTAGTTGCTAATAATAGTCCTATTGCCTTCTTTAAAAATTGGGGTAATTTTTTCAATTTTTAGTTGTTCAGGAAAAATTCCTTAATCAATTGACGTTTTAAAAACTTTAAAGAGAATATCTTTTAATTGTTCAAAACAGTTTAGAATTATTTTATCATTAATGTCATCTGCTCCAGTAGCCTTATTTTTTTCAGAGTTTTAAAGGCTATTTCAAATTCTTCAAATGATAATTTAGATGACAACTCCCCAGAAGTAATTCAATCATTCATCGTACTAGAAAATCACTAAATTTAGCCTACGTCATTGGAATCTTATTGGCCAGTTCAGGATCAATTTTAACAAAAAAATTATTAAACTCGCAAGCCATTTCTTTTTGCTCATAGATGATTCTGTTATCAACCTTTATGGCCTGGGGAAGGAAGCCCGAGTAGTCTTTTTGTTTTCCACTCTTTTTTTATTATTTCCAAATTACTTTTATTATTCTCACGTTTAGAGTTATTTTTATACTTATCAATGAAGCTAGAGTAGTAATTTTTTTTCAAATTTTTTTGAGTTTTTTCAAACTGATATTAAAAATCTTTGTATATTTTTTCATTTTCTGGGAACTTTGTTTTTAAATACTTTATATGCTTTCTGCTTGATCTTCGGTGATTTTTTAAAATCTTTGGTAATCCAGAGATTAAATTTTTTTTTAGATTTATTGTTTTTTCTATGAATGGAAAATTTCCATCATATATAGAATATGTGTTGAAAAAATTATCATTTATAGTTTGCGTCATCGTTTGAAATTAAAAAATTATTTTATAAAGAGTAGCTTCGTCATTTGAAATTAAATATAAGGGAAAGTCGCCTATAATGGCATACTTAACTTTGAAGCTTCAATATTCAGTATCCTAAAGACCAAGAGCAAAAGATTTGATATGGATACATTTTTTGTTACATGTAAAACGATAACTCTAGGAGTTAAAATCAGTTTTATTTTTTTTATTTGTTATTTTTATGTTAAAAAAAAGCACAAGTATACCATCATAGGCAACTACTGCTCATATGCCGTCACAGGCGCTATGCCGTCATACACGCTATGATATCATAGGCGCCCTTTCCCCTACCATTAAAAAAAATATGAAAAAGGAATAGAATTAAAGACATAAAGTATTTTTTTTTTAAATTGTATTGATCCAATTTACAAGGGCTGTAAGAAAAGTTTTTTAAAAGAATATGAAATTATTTTCAAAAGCATATTCAAAATATAAACAAAAAATTATAATATTTTATTTTTTTCTTGAGACTCAAGCTCAACACTTTTTATTCAAACTTTGTTTCCAAAGTGTTAGTTGAAGCGGCGTTGGAAGTAGTACTTTGCGAATTCACTAAAACAAAAATATTGAAGATTTAAAATTTAGTCAATTTATAAATACTTATAAAAATAATTAATAAAAACTATTATCTAAAAAATACAAGATTGTATAAAACTTACACGATATATTCTTGAAGAACGCAAACTTTTTTTCCAAAAAAAGCATTAATTCTTCTTTAACTTGTTTATTTCCAACAGTATAGAACAGAAAAATAAAAAAACCTTGTAAGGAATTAAAAATACAAAACAACCATTGAAATACAACTGTGGCTTTACCGACAGCTAAAATCGCAAATATCCAAGTTAATCCAAGCAAGGCGGAGCATGCAAAAGCATTTCGAACTTTTTTTTTGCTATCAATCTTGTTATTTAAATTTGAATTACCACTAATACCTCTGAGAACAAAAACAAGAACACAAATATTGCCTGCCATTATTACGCAGATAGGTAAAAGTATTCCAAAGTAAAATGGATATCCTTGAACAACACATCTAAATGTAAACAAATAAAAAAACTACTAAAATCACAAAGCAAATTTTTTCCCCGAGTTTCAAACAAAAAAAAGATTTTTTAAATATTTACACTTGTGTGTTATTCTTATCTTCATGTGAAGGACCTAAAGAGTCAGGTTTACTAGCAGCTGTTGCTACTGTAAATATCAATGGTATACCTAAAATAAAAAAAAAGTAAGTAAATATATACACTACTGTTCATAATTATTCGAATGGCATTACGTTTTTAATATACTACTTTTCATTTAACTATTTTATATGGTTATTTTGCACTAGTAGAGAATTCAAAATTATTTTGGTTAAAATGCTTTGATAAAAATCATGAATATAATAAAAATACTAATGTGGTTAAAACTACTTAAAAAATTGACTATCAATGACAGTAAAGGCGGACCGACGTGTCGAAGTTTTAAATCTTTGGTTTTAAGATAAGAATACTAGATAATGATTTGAAGCTTGAATATAAAACATATTTTCACAAAATTGTTTAAGTTATTAGACTAATAACTGTTTAAAATATTTGAGTTCGAGATCAAATATTAAACAAAATGATTTAGCCTCCCCAATCAAAGATCTCTTTC